CCCAGTCCTTGATGCGAGGCGTCGCAGTACACCACAAAGTTATCCGTTCCCTCTGGTAATGCTAGAATCGGCGCATTACACAATTTGTGCTTAAGTATCTGAGACGCTTCTTCCTGCTTCTCGCCCCAAATAAATTTCTTATCTTTCTGTGTTAGAGTCGTCAGTGGTTGTGCGATCTTGGAGAAATTTGCAATGAATCGCCTATAATAACCTGCCAAACCAAGAAATTGACAAATCTCTGTTGGTGTCTTTGGGGCTTCCCACTTCTTGATAGCCTCGATCTTAGCTGGATCAACATGGATTCCCTTCTCATTGACTACATGGCCCAAAAAATGCACTTCACAAATCCAAAATTCGCATTTGGAAAGTTTGGCRTACAACTTTTCCTTCTTGAGCAATTCTAGGATCAACCTTAAATGTCGCTCATGCTCTTTCTTATTTCATGAGTAAATCAATATATCATCTATAAACACAATCACAAACTTGTCTAGGTAGGGTCGGCAAACTCTGTTCATCAAATCCATGAAAACTGCCGGAGCGTTTGTTAATCCAAAAGGCATAACTAGAAACTCGTAATGACCATATCGAGTCCTAAACGCCGTCTTAGCAATGTCTTCTTCGCGAACTCACATCTGGTGATATCCTGAATGAAGATCGATCTTTGAGAAGTACGTAGCACCTTGTAGTTGGTCAAACGATTCGGGGGAGAGGGTAACGGTTTTTGATGGTCAGTTTGTTGAGTTCTCTGTAATCAATGCACATCCGGAAAGATCCATCCTTCTTTTTGAAAAATAGAACCGGAGCTCCTCAGGGTGAAGAACTAGGCCTGATGAATCCTATATCAAGCAGCTCCTGTAGTTGTTCTGATAATTCTTGCATCTCCGATGGTGCTAATCGGTAAGGCGACTTTGCCACGGGTGCAGCTCCAAGAACTAATTCAATATGAAACTCTACTTGTCTTTGTGGGGGTAATCCAGGTAATTCATTTGGAAATACCTCAGGAAAATCTCGCACTGTCGGGAGATCCTGAATACGCTTCTCTTTGATCACCCTATCCACAACATGTGCCAAAAATGCAACGCAATTTTTCCGCATGTAATTTCGCATTTTCATACATGTCACTATTTTAAGATCCTTCCTTGGTTTCTCTCCATGTACTTCGAGTATTCTTCCTTCTGACAGTGGTATACGAATCTTCTTTTCAGCACAACAAATTTCGGCTCGGTTTTCAGACAACCAATCCATACCTACGATTAAATCAAAACTTCCTATTTTGATTGGGATTAGGTCTATACTAAAATTCGTTCCTTCCAAATTTAGTGTGCAGTTCTTGATCACATATCTAACCTTAACTTTCTGTCTGCTAGCATATTCTATTATATGTACTTCGTTCAACTTTTGGGGTCTTATATTTATCTTTGGCCTAAAATCTAGTGACACATAACTCTTATCTGCTCCAGAATCAAAAAGTACGGATACAAGATGATTGTTTAAGAGAAACATACCTGTGACTACATCAGGGTTTTGTCTTGCTTCTTCTGCCCCAATCTCGAACACTCGACCT